CGGCAGTAGGGCATCAGGGGTCAGAGCATCACCCCTCAAGATCAAGACAGCAATTTGGACCAGTAGAAAATACACAGAGCCTGCCCAAAGAAACAGAGCCCAGAGAGCAAAGACACACATGCCCTGGGTTCTGGAAGCACCTCAGGGCCTGGGACAAGCCGTCCAGAAAGAAGGGAAGCAGCTGAGGTTCCAGGAATGGGGCAGCAGAAGCCAGGATGACATGGCCCCACAGCATTCTGAGGGCGGCCAAAAGCAGATGCTGACTCACAGTCAAGCAGAGCTGAGGTATCAGCCCACACCTCAGTTGGGGACTGCTTGTCCTGTATTACTCACAGCCCAGCCTCCCTAAAAATACCTTCGAGGGGTGGTCACTGCTTGCCGAGAAGCTCAAATGAGACAGATTCAGAAAAGTTGGGTCCCAGTGCTACCTCTGTCCTTCAGTTGAAACTGCCACTGTCTCTTCTAGAGAGGGACCTGCCCGAACACCTATAAAGGACTGAAATAACTAGATTCTTTCATGATAAAGCCTCATGATGAGAAAACAGACACTCAGGGGACCTTCTCCGGCGTCCTTCAGGTTAGATTCCACTTACGCATAATAAATAATCCAGGAGAGGCATGATGATGCACGCCTGTGATCCCAGCTCCCAGTGCTCAGGAGACAGAGGCAGGCAGATCTTGAGTTCGAGGGCAGCCTGGTCTAAAGAGTGAGTTCCAGGACAGCCAGAACACAGAGAAACGCTGTCTTGACAAAGCAACCAACCAACAAACAAAAAAACCCTATCTTGCCCCTCTCCGTACACCTCAAATACAACAGCATTTCAGTACTTCTTAAGGAAACTCTGGAGGAAGCAGCAGTCGGAAGCATGGTACAGGGCAGCCTCCAGTAGATGTGATGGAGCCAGAAGAATTCTGACAAAGGAACCGGGTGACAAGTTCCCTTCGGAAAGCAGTATGCAGCTGCACTGAGAGCCGCTGTAGACTGCGCCGTATAAACAACGGCATCAGTGGAGGTTTAATTAGACATGTGTGAAATACACAGGCCGGGACCACATTGGAGGGCCCCAGGGGCAGGAGCAAAAATCAGAAGGAGGGAGCCATATCTACAGTGAGAAACGTAGACAAACACAGGCAGGTGGGCTGGCGGGGCCTTGTTGGTTTTGTTTTTCTGCCTCCCTTCCAATGTTATTCTCCCTATCATCTGAACCTATTGTTTAGGAAGAAATAAGAGTCTGGCTTTCTCATCCAGCACATAGAGTGGCTTCATGTTTTGGGGGTTTAGGAGATGAAACTCAGGACCTTATTTGTACTAAGCAAGAGTTCGATCATGGACTTACATTCCCAGTGATTGATTGATTGATTGATTGATTGATTTTGAGGCAGGATCTCACTATGTAGCCCTGGCTGACCTGGAACTCACTATGTAGACCGGGCTGGCCTCAAACTCTCAGATCCATCTGCATCTGTCTCCCAAGCGGCAGGACTAATAGTGTTCACCACCACAGCGAGCTTATTTGTATGAATGTTTTGTCTGTACATGTGTGCCTGGTGCTTTCAGAGGCCACAAGTTGGTATCAGATCCTCTAGAACTGGAGAGCAAGGAACCAAACCCCTAACAACGATTTGCTTTGTCTGCCTAGGAAAGTTTACATTTTTAAATCATCTTCTCGATAAAATAAGCCTCAAGCGGGCACAGTGGCACACGCCTGTGATCCCAGCACTTGGGGAGGCAGAGGCTGGCGGATCTCCGAGAGTTTGAAGTCTGCCTGGTCTACAGAGTGAGTCCAGAACAAACAAGGGTACAAAGGGAAACCTCATTCTGAAAATAAGTAAATCTCAAAAGGTGTTACAGAGCAGAGTGTCAGTACATTGTGATCCAACCATGCTTGAGGCAGAGGCAGGAAGACCACCCTGGACTATTGAGTTCAGTTCAAGCCTGAACCATACAGCAAGAGCCTGTCTCAAAAAGTTAGAATATAAAATGTGATACACAAGAGCTGTGTAGACAGGATTTTTAGAGACAAGGTTTCTCTGTGTAACACTGGCTGTTCCAGAACTCACTCTGTAGACCAGGCTGGCCTCAAATCAGGCTGGCCTCAAACTTAAACATCTACCTGCCTCTGCCTTCCCAGTGCTGGGAAGAAAGGCGTGCGCCACCATCCCCTGCAGTTTCTTTCTTTCTAACTTCTTTGTTTTTGACAATATTAACAAGCTAAGCTGGATCTCCTTGAGGGTCAGAACCTGGTGAAGTAGGGGCTGGAAGCAACGTGGGTTCGGGTTGATACCCTCCCTTCTGGCTAAAGGAAATTGGAAAAAGGTGTTAAGAAAAATGTCAGCTTACAAGGACCCTCCAAGCCTCCGGGGGCCCACAGTCTGACCAACTGTTTCAAGATTTACGTTTTGGGGTGGCGTAACCAGGAGCCTGCACCTGTCACATCGCTGAGGGAGAGGAGACTGAGTAATAATGTATGCAGATGACGTAGTCAGTGGCAGTGCTGGGACTAGGGAGCCATCCCTGCTCAGTCTCTGCTGCCGGCTTTACCAGCCAGGACATGAATCCACAGCACGTCCTCCCGCTGTCACACGGGACAGGAACTGAATGGACGTACCTGGGAAGGAATACAGGGACTCAGCCATGAAGTGTAGATCCCCACTTTTCTCCCTTTCTGGTCTCTCCTTCTCCAGCCTGGTCTACAAAGCAAGTCCAGAACAGCCAGGCAACACAGAGAAACCTTGTCTCAATAAAACAAAAGAAAGAGAGCTCCAATTCTTTACAGGAAAAACACTAAGGACTAGAATGGTAAAATAATGATATAATTACATCAAACTGACTACAACATGAAATTTTTAGAAGTCCAATGCTCTTTTGATGTTCTGAGACAGCATTTTGTTAAGTTGCCCAGACTGGCCTCATACTCCATCTGTCACCACATGCAGCTAGACTTTTTAAAAAAACTAAATGCACCCAGCCTGGTACGGTGGCCCACACCTTTAATACCAGTCCTAAAGAGGCAGAGACAGGGGGATCTCTTGGAGTGAGGCAAACTTAACCTATCTACATAATGAGTTCCAGGCCAGCCAGGACACTGTCTTAAAATAAACACACAAACACACAGTTCTTTAACAATAACAAGCTGTCTTATGCCCAAAATGTACAATTTGAAAACCGCATAAAGAGACCCTTCTTACGCTGGCTTCCTCCTGGATGAGAAGCAGATCAGCAGACAGCTGGCTACTCCCACAGTGGCTAACTGACCCTCCCATTCCAGCTCTCTAGGTGAACCTTAAAACCCATCCTCAATACCAACTGCGAATTCACTTGTGTCAGCTGAATAAGCAACGCGGAATAAGGATGTTTTCACCTTTTCAGCGTGTCCGTTCTCAGCCTCTATGGTGACTAAATTATTTAGGTGACTGCCAAGGTCATTTTGTCTCTAACTGTTCCACTCATCTTCCCCACTAAGAGGACCAGACTTCGGGCTAAAATGTTACCCCAATTTCACTCCTGGAGTTACCCTGGGAATACAGCCATTAATTAGAAAAGGCCATTCTACAGCAAGAATACAAGAAAGAGAATGGTGTGGCAGAAATTTAAAAAAAAAAAAAAAAAAAAGGCTGATAAGGAGTCCTGTCAGGACTGACATCCTGGTTTTGCTCTGCATTCCTGGACACACAGTGAAGAAAATATTTTTAACCTTAGGATGATAAAAAGGCAAAAAGAAAAAAAAGAAATCCAACTTCAGAGACCTAAAGAGCATTAGATTCCTAGCCGTGGAAGCTAAAGACTAGGTGAACTTCATCAATACTGGAGTTCTACAGCACAAAACGCTGAGTCTGGGTCGCTGGGCTAAAGTACTCCAGACCTGGAGGGAAAAAGCGTAAAATCAAAATGGAGGAGGGGCCAAGGAGAAATGGGCTGGAAGCAAAAACCTCGTGGCGCGTGGCGCGCGTCTCATGGCGCCATCCAACCTTCCTGCTCCACACTCCCCGGCCTCGGGACTCGCCATCCCGCCTCCCCGGCGGCCGCACGCGGCGCCCAGCTCCCCCAGGCACCACCACCACCCCTCGTGGAGCCCGGGCGCCCCCTGAACTTGGAGGCTGTTAAACGGCAGGCGATCAAGCAGCCCCATCTCAAAAGGCAGCGAGGGGGAGTAAAGAAAGAACCGTCTGGGAGGGCTCCACCCTTCTCCACCTGCAAAAAAAGACCAGAGGTTAAGGCAAGATGCCCCCCCTCGCTGCCTGGCAGGGGGGAAAAATACAAAAAACAAAAAAAAAAAAACAAAGAGACTCCCCGGAGAGTCAGGACTCTGTAGCCCCTTCCCTGGGAAAGGAGGAGCGAGCGACCCGGACACCTAAGAGCACGGAGCCAGCACAACTTTCTCACTGAGACCGATCACGTTTTCTCTTCCAGCCATAAAAGACAGCAGCCCCTGCGGTCGTTCCATCCGCGACTGCACCCACCGGGGCTTCGGCTCTCTAGGGGAAAGCCCTGCAACCCCCAAGGTGGGCTCCCGGCAGCCGGCGCGCCGCCACGCGCATCCCCGTCACCCTCGCCACGCTACGGGCTTGGACGAGCGGCCGGGAGCAGGCCGGCCGGAGGAGGAGCGCCCCCGGGGCTCGGAGGGAAGCCCCGAAAGCCCCGTCCCCGTTCCCCGACTTGCAAAACAATAAGCATCCGCCTTCCGCCCCTCCCCCACAGGACCCTGACCATGAGTCGCCGCCGCCGCCGCCGCCGCCGCGGGGATCCGGCGAGGGAGCGCACCATCCCTGCGTGGGGGGAGGAGGGCAGGCGAGGAGAGGGGAGCCGCACCCGGGACCCTCGGACGAACCGGTCCCCTCCCCGCTGGTTCCCCAACGCCGCGCCCCGAGCCTGAGCGCGGCGGCGGCGGCCCGGAGCGAGGACCGCGCGGGCCACGCGGTGGCAGGCTGCAACTGACACGGCCCGCGGGCGCCGGCCACATGCGCCTGCCGCCCGGCGGGCCGGGCGCGCGGACCCTTACCTTGCCGCTGGCCGTGCCCCCGCTCACGCCGATCAGGAAGGGCTCGCCGCCGTTGGGCTGCTGGTGGTTCTGCAGGGTCTGCTCGCTGTCCCCGGCCATGACTCGCGCCGCCCCTCCTCTCGCAGCCTAGGCGAACCGACGCACGCTCCCCGCCCGCGACCGGGCTCGCTCGGCTCCTCGCAGCCGCCTCCCGCTGGTCGCCGCCGAGGTCGAGGCTGGGCCGGCAGCGGCGAGAGCCGGGGCGGGAGGGGGAGGGCAGGGGACAGGGGGGACGGGGAGGGAGGCCGAGATGGCTTTCCCGGAGGTGCCGAGAGCTCTCCTGTGCCCGTGGCGGCCGGCGGGGTTTACATCCCAGGCAGAGGTCAGCGTGATGAGGCTGCTCCAATCCGGGCGGGCGGCGCGCTGCTATTCGCCAGGAGTCTGGCCGCGGCCTCCGCCCCGCCCGGGCCCTGCCGCCGCCCGAGGTCTCTGGGAAAGGTGTGAGCGCCACTCCCCTCCCCACCCTCCCGGTTAACCCTTTCTCGGACGGAGCCCCGGGACAGAAGAGCTAGGTCAGCGTTTTCACGGGCCAGCTTGCGTCCCTCTTTCAAAAGAGAGGAGAGAGCGAGGGGAGGCTGCAGACCGGATCGGAGGCCGGCGGAAATGCCCCGGGTTTGCGACGCGAGACTGGAAAAGGCTGGGAAGGGAGGAGATGGAGCGGAGTTGACGCCTGGCCCCTTGATCAACGCTGTTTTCAGAGACTCCCTTCCGAGCCCCCCTTACAGAGCCAAAAGAGTGTGTCAGCCGCTTGACTTTAGAGATTTTTTTTTTCTGTCTTGGAAACCCTCAAGTGCCATTTTCTTTAGCAGGTCTGTCCTCGTGTGACCTCGGGTGACTCGAGGACGGTTCCCCCTCCCTGGAAAAGCGGTGCCCTTCCACACCACGGCGTGCATATACCCAGTGCTGAGATCCCCGCAGAGCTAGGGCTAATGAAAATAGAAACAAAACAATACCATTTCATTGATGACTAACTGACCTAGTTTAGTAAAGACAGGCAATTTGTCACTTGGTTAGGAAGATGGTACCAGGGACTAAGGAAGAGTCTTCACCTCCGGGGCCAGGTGTCTTCGTATCAAGGTCCATAAGGAAGTCCAAGGGAACACTGCGCCTCAATGTTCCCATCAATCAAAATGGGAATAATGGTGCTCACACCACTAGGATTTGTTTTGGACTTAAATGAATTACCGCAGGTAAAAAAAAGAAAAAAAAAATTTAGAACAATGCCTGAATATCCCTCTAGAGCCTGTATTGGGGCTTGAAAAGGCTCCTAAAGGACTGAATCAGAAAGGGCAAGTTTTGCTGGGCACACCTAAAAGGTAGGGCTAGAATCTTTGCTTTCTGAACTCTGAACCTTTTCAGTGAAAGGATGGGGCCCTAAAAGGGGGTTAAGAGGCTGGAAAGATGACTCGGCAGTTAAGAGAGCTGGCTTCTCGGGAAGAGGTACCCAGGTCCAGTTCCCAGCACTCGCATGGCAGCTGACAAATCCTACTTCAGGGGGTCTGGAGCCCACTTCTCGCCCCTGCCCGCACCAGCGCGCAGACATACATGCAGGCGAAACAACTACATGCATAAAACAATTTTTAAGGTTTTGTGGGGTTTTTTGGAGGGGATTTTGCTTGTTTTGGTTTTTCAAAACTGGGTTTCTCTGTGTAACCCTGGCTGTCCTGGAACTCAGTCTGGCCTCTAACTCGAAGAGATCTCTCTGCCTCTGCCTCCCGAGACTGCAGGGATTAAACGCGTGCACCACCACCCTAAAAGTTTTGAAAAAAAAAAAAATAAAAGAACGTAAGTCTAACACATTTTCTTGTAGATAATAGTTTTGAAAACATTGTTAAAGGGTATCAGGCTGCTCGTAGGGCATGGAGGGCCTTTGGTCATGCTGACTTAAAAAAAAAAAGGAAGAAATTTCCAGTTGTTCAGTGAAAAAACACTAAAGACTTAGCAGGATGGTGATGGCCTTTAATCCCAACACCAGAGAGGTGGAGGCAGGTGGATCTCTTGAGTTCGAGGCCATCTTAGTCTACAGAGTTCCAGGCAGCCAGGGCTACACAGAGAAACACTGTCTTAAGAAGAGGAGGAGGAGGGGGAGGAGGAGAAGAAAAAGGAAGGAAGGAAGAAAGAAAGGAAGGAAGGAAGGAAAAGCGCAAGTGCTCTTGGAGTGTGGCTATTTTGTTCTTTTGAGGCAGGCTGACCCAGTACACCCTGCATAGGTGAAGATGATCTTCCCATCGGCCAGTCTCCTCCTCCCAAATGACTGGATTACGGACATACACCAACCACAATGTCTAGTTTACAATAGTTCTTTTCTCTCCCGAATTGTTTCATGTCACGGTCAGCACCTACCCCTGTTCCCAGGAAGCCAAGATGAGAGCAATCGCCTGTTGTCCATAGGAAGCATCTGGGGGAGCCTGGCTAGACCTCATCACACAGCCCAGGCAGTGTGGAGGGCTGACTTCTCCCAAAAGCCTCTTCTCTGCAAAGGAAATAGAACACTATTTATAGCCCAGTGTGAGGCCTGCTGGAATTTGGAGTTTAATGAGTCCACAGATTAACATGGAGATAGTAGGTAGCTAAGGAGAATCGGAAATGGAAAGGCTACACCATGGACTTTTCCAAAATCCCCACCCCTAGCTTTTTCCATAGTTTAACACAAATTTTCAAATGTACTTGAAATAAGCTTACAATAAACTATGTACATTGGCTGGGTATAGTGGCAAACACCTTTAATCTCAGCACTTGGTAGGCAGAGGCAAGCCCGTCTAGGAGCTGGAGGCCAGCTGGGTCTGGAGTCCACCACTGACACACTAACCCTGCCGTATCGTGCAGGAAGTAGTGTGCCCATCCCTCTACCCATGAAGACTTTTGTCTGAGGACCTATGTGTTTTACTTAGCTTACTCTGAACTGACACACTTCTTGCGGGAAGGGGAATCCCCCCCTTTAATCACTACACCCAGACATCTAGAACAGTGGCTGGCATATCCTAGGGCTTCAGTGACTGTTCCTTGTGTGAAGGAGCCGGCACTCATCTCATCTGCATTCCCTGAGGAGAAAGACAAACAATGCCTTTGATGTATGGTTGTTGAAGGAACAATGAAGAATGGGTTAAAAGGTACCAACAAATACACATTTTTGGGTTTTGGTTGTTTTTTTTTTTTTTTTTTTAAATCATATTGAAAGAAAAAGTGAGGCTGGAGAGATGGCTCATCTGTTAAGACTGTCCACTATTCCAGAGGACTGGAGTTCAAGTCCCAGCCCCAACATGGCAATTCAAAACCGTCTGTAGCTCCAGTGCCAGGGGATCCAACACCGCCACACAGACATATGTGTAAGCAAAACACCAATGCACATAAAATAAATTTGAAATAAAAGAAAACATCCCTGCAATTGTAATTGTGTGGTTACTACTTTTAAGAGAGAGCGAGAGAGCTGTTCCTGGAACTTGCCCCACAGACCAGGCTGGCCTTGAACTCACAGAGATCCTCCTGCCTCTGCCTCCCAAGTGCTAGAATTAGAGAAGTTTGCCAACACACTCAGCTTCTAATTTGACTTTTGAATTTTTTTTTTCCTGGCTGTTAAATTTTCAGTGTAGTTAGTTCCCACCAAAAATTTATTCTGATATTTGATTCCTTATTGAACAGTACAAAATATTCTTTGGAGCCAGGCATGGTTGCATAGGCCCTTTAATCCCAGCACTCAGCATGAGGGAGGCAGAGGCAGGTGGATCTCTGTGAGTTCGGGGACAGCCTGGTCTACAATGAGAGTCCAGGACATTCAGGCATTCAGGGCTATAGAGAAACACTGTCTCAAAAAAAAAAAAAAAATCCTTGGAACCTTTTAAGAGGGATAGGAATATGTCACAGGAGCTCCATGCTCATGGTGGGATTGATGTAGCTCTCCAGGTTCGTTCAGTTATCAGTTGTGTGGTCCTTGGCTCCCTATTGCTTCCTCTCTCACAGAATTCTCTTCTGCAGTATCTGCAAATCACTCGCCACACCCTGTCCATGCTGTGTCATCTTCCATATTGTGATGAAGCGTAAAATTAGTCTCTCAGCAGAAGCCTGTAGATGCTGGGGTTGTGCTTGGAGGCTTTCCTATTTTCCACTGCTGTCTTCAGAATTCACAGCGACTCTCTACAGCTAGTCCTGGTGCTAACTCAGTGCATTCCTTTGCCCCTCGCTCAGTACTACTAATAATAGCATTTGACCTCTGAAAGTGAATTAATATTCTCGAAAATGCTCTGAAAATGCTGAAAGCTTTCTCTATAAAGATAAGGCCTGGTTAGCAGAGGAGGACAACCATCCTCCCCCTCTCACCCCCTCTGTTTTCACTTTCCCTCTTTGCTTTCCCTTCCCTGTTCTTAGGGCTGGCTTGCCTGCACAGAACTTGCCCTCTGTCCAAAGTATTAAGAGTCCAGTCCTCATGGTGACCTCAGCAAGGACCTAAGTGTCTTGCTCTGCACCGAGCAAAGCAAGCTGCCTCTGCTGCTCCCTGGGCTGTACCATCCTCTCTTGAGAGCTGTCACAAATCCCAGAGCCAGGGATGCTCACCTGAGCCTACTCTGCAATTAACACCGCAGTTCTGAAACTAAGTGATTCCAACCAGATCCTCTGCCCCTCCTGCTAAGGAAAATATGTCTTTGGAGTAGCTACAGTGAATAAAATGTGTCTTCTTGTTATCCGTGATTTTTTTTTTTTTTCTTTATACGGATTCAGCCTGCTCAAGTCCTGGCCCAGGTACGGGTTGGGAATGAAGTCAGCATGAGTATGCATCTCCAGTTGTAGCTAAAGAGCAATGAGACGCTGCTCCTTGACAGTCCTTTGTCTGCCTGGCCCCCTCTCCTGGAGCGCCAGCACCCCTCCTTCTGAGAAGCTAACTCAATTGTTCTCCCTGCAGGTGCTTCAAAACAATGACCAATGCTGCATTTGAATATTCATGCCCCACAGAACAATAAATGCGACCACACTTCAACGCCAGCCTGGGCAATTTTTATTTTATTTTATTTTAATTTTTTTGGTCCCCTCTGTTGCCTTCCTAACTTCTTTCCCCCTTTCCTCATTCAGCAGTCGCTTTGAGAAGCCATTCATAACTATTCTGAAAAGATGACCTTCCAGTAGGAAGGCTCTTTCAACCTCTCCACCCGTGACCTTCATGCTGATGCTGATGCTATCTTGCGGGAAAGCGGAGCTCCTAGGGAAGAGAGAGAGAGAGAGAGAGAGAGAGAGAGAGAG